TGTTCTTTGACTCAACAGGTGTCAGGGGAGGCCGGGCAAACAATTTCCCCACCCTAACATGTGTCTTTCTCTGCCCAGAGTCCCCTCTGTGTCTCTACTTTTGCAAATGTCCTCTGCATAGATTCTCCCAGGTTGCACCTTCTTCTCCCTCCACCCCTGCCTTCCTTGAGTCCTGAGCCCGTGGCTCAGGCGATGCTCTGGCAGCAGAGGCAGCATAGCACAGGGGGCTCAATCCATAGCAGGTAGTAAATATATTTGGCTTAAGTCTTGCCTTGATTACTTACTAGCAGTGTGCCCTTGGGTGAGCCTCATTACCTCTCTGGGAGGTGACAGAGCCCTCACATGGCTCAACATCATTCACTTGGCTTGTCTCCTGTGCTGGCTTTGGCCAATGATGTTCTGTCAGTGCCAATCGGCCTGGAAACAGGGCAAACTCTGAAGGGTTGAGAGCCAAGCCAGCATGGGGACTAGGACTATGCAAAAGGACTCCAGAGGTCCTAGATTCCTAGACTGCCAGAGCTAGAAGGGCTTGACAATTCAATGAGTTCCCCTCCCTCATTTTACAGATGGTAAAACTGAAGCTGAGGAAGGGGATGTGGCTACAAAGCTGGCAAGTAGAGGAGCTGGCTGGACTGGAGCTATGAAAACAGATCCTGGCCAGCCCAACTGCAGATAGACTCTCCTCGGACCCTCCCTGTCCCTGTCCCTTCTGGAGCTGCATGTCCTGAGGAAAGGACATAGGCTCTGTCCTCTGGACCAGCCCTCCCTCTGCACTGTGGTGTCTCTATGGAGATCCTCACTCTCTTGATCTGGTTTCTCCAAGTGTGGGGTCCTGGTGGGCAAGGAGGCAGATGCCCTGATGTGCCATTGCTCAGCCTACACTTGGGGCACTGTGGAGGATGCTGTACCTGGCCCTGGACATCAATGGAGGTGGAGGGGAGCTGACCTCCTTACTCAGTGTGGGCACAGTGGGCAGTCCAGGTCAGCCAGAGAGTGGCTGGGAAGCCAAAGTTATGGGGAGGCTTGGGGCCCAGTCCCATGCTAATGCCACCTCTGCTCTGATCCCCTACATCTAGTTTGCACTCTGTACCATAGTCTTTTGCCCTTGGTATTTGTTTAGAACATTTCTGACAGCTATTTTGGAAAGCAGTAAAACAAAGGATTAATCGTACAGACTCTGGAGCCAGAATGTCTGTTCTTGCACTTACTTGCTGTGTGACCTTGAGTAAATTACATACCTCTCTGTGCCTCAGTTTCTCTCTTCTAAAAAGGGGATAATGAGGGGCTGGCCCCATGGCCGAGTGGTTAAGTTCGCGTGCTCCGCTGCAGGCGGCCCAGTGTTTCGTTGGTTTGAATCCTGGGTGCGGACATGGCACTGCTCATTAAACCACGCTGAGGCAGCGTCCCACATGCCACAACTAGAAGGACCCACAACAAAGAATATACAACTATGTACTGGGGGGCTTTGGGGAGAAAAAGTAAAAAATAAAATCTTAAAAAAAAAAATAAAAAGGGGATAATGATAGTACCTATTTCATGAGGCTGTTGTGAAGCACACATGAGTGAAGCCCTTAGAACGATGTCCAGCATATGGTCCACGCTCATTAACATGTATTTTGCCTACTCCATCAGACAAGATGCTCCCTAGGGTAAGCCCATCAGACTGGGGATTCTCTGAGGGCAGGACTGTGTCTTTCCCTAGGGACTCAAGCTCTCTTTCCTCCTATCGACTTTCTAAGAATCCCAGGCTGAGCCCAGCAGAATTTTGAAACTGAACGAACAAAGGAGCTAGTGAGACTCTTTCTAAGCACCAAACCAACAAGGGTGTGGGGTGGAAGAGGCTGGGAGGGAGTAGGGCTTTTCAACCCTCCATCTAGGGGCATCTTCCTGACCCTCCGGTTGCCCAGGAGGTGAGAGGACAGACAAGGATGCTGAGGAGGAGGTTCTTTTTCTGGTGGAGCCCTGGGCTGGAAAAGATGGCAGGGAAGGAGTTCCAGCTGGTGCTCGCAGTCCTCGAGGCAGCCACAGTCAGGTGGAGAAAACCAATAAGCAGCATCTGCAGCTCATTGCTCGGGTTCCAAAGCCCTTTCTTGCCTATTATCCCATTCTTTTTCTTGGAACAATTCTGTGGGGAAAGCCCAATTATTGTCTTTTCCTTTTTTACAGAGGATGAAAATGACCCTTCAAAATGTTAAGTGGCATGTCCAAGGTCACACAGCTCTCAAGTGACTGTGCTGCAACTTGACCTCAGGTCCTCTGACTCCAAATCCCATCTCCTTTGTATAGAGCCTCTCCCAGACACCAGCAGGGGACACTAAACCCAGTCTTCCGAGAGCCTCCAGTCCGGTGGAGGAGACAGGTCCTGCCACCAGAGGATCTCCAGCCTTGTGCACAAGTTACAGTTTCTAGCAGGGAGGGATATCAGGGAGCAAACACTTGGTGCCTACTATGTGCTGAGCAATTTGCACAGGCCACTCTTTCTCTCCCCTCCCCACCTTTCTTTCTTACCACAAAGTCCCATTTGCCAGGTAAGGACAGTGAAGCTCAGGGAGTAACTTATCTCAGGTTCTCCAGTGAGTCCAGTGGCAAAGCTGGGATTAGAATCCAGGTTAGCCTGTTGCTAACACTTGTGCTTTTTCCGCTAGCATGGGAGACCATTGGCGCAAGGGTCATCTCCTCCATGAAGTCTTTCTAGGCCCTGAATGTAGTACTGACTTCTTGTGTCTCTGGGTCCCCACTGTTCCCCTATATAAACGTCCCCAGGGCACCTGCACATTTGTTAGACTTATTTAATTTATATGCCTGTCTCTCCTCACTAGGCAGTGAGTCCTTGAGGGCAGAGAGTGGTCTTGGGCATCCCTGTATCCCCTGTGTGTAGCACAAAGCCTGTGCACAACAGGTGTTCAGTAAGCGTGTGTTGAGTGAGTGGTGGGGAGGTGTTTGGAAGGCCTTCTCATGACCATTTTCCTGTCTCCTAGGAATTATCCCAGACAGTGATGTGTGTGTGTGTGTGTGTGTGGGGGGGGGGGGGTGGGGGATACCAGAGGATGCTCTCTCCACACACATTGTGGGGGGATGCTGGGGTAGAGGTGCGAGCATCTGTCTCACCTGGAAATCTTTCCAGATTTCCCACACTCACCTGCACTCATGCTTCACCCATGCATCATTCAGATACTTCTTTTGGCTTCAGTCTGGCCTGTCCTGCACTCCTTCCTTCATGTCCCAGCACCTTTATCCCTCCCAGGTTTGCTTTCTAGGGGACAAGTCTGGCATTGGGATCAGAACCATCCTTCCTGGTCCCATTTTATTCTCACAAGATCTCCAAGAGGTAGGATAGTTGGAGATGACCTACCTTCCTTTTTCAGTTAGGGACATTCAAGCTCCAAGAGGTAGTGTCTGAGTTCACACAATAAGTTGGGTCCAGTGATGATGAAGGAGGGGGAGAGGGCTGGGGGCAGTTTTCTGAATTAGGGACAGGCTGGGATTCCCCCAGGAACTTGAGGAACCTGGCTCTGCTTGTCCTTCTCCAAGGCAGATGGGGCAGAAGAGACCCCATTTCATCTGTGAGATGGCATGGAGGGAATCCAAGAATCTTGTCCCTGGCCATAAGTCTCCAGCCCTTCTGCAGTCTTGATGGTTGCCAGTAGGTGCCGTCAGTCTGCAACTTTTGGTTCTGTCCCTACAGGTCCAGCTTCCATCCCTCTCTTCCTCCTGTCACCTGAACAGTCTGCACTTGCAGAAAGCAGGAGAGGGGCCCAATCCCTGTGAGACTGAAAGAGCCCTGTCCTAGGAGAGGAAGCAGGAAGAGGGTCTCTGACCTGCGCTCAGCTTGGCTGCCCTGCAGCTTGCTAGGCCAGGCCAAAAAAATCCACAGTGGGTCACCGATTATGCCTGGACAGGCGCCCTTACCCTGAAACCAGCTCCAGGATAGCAGAAACTTTTGTGGGGGAGGATGGGTGAGTACTAGGGGGACCTGAGAGAGAACCTAGGAGACAGGTCCCTGCTTCAAATGCTACTGTAGGGCTGCTTCCAATCCTAGCAGGACTGAGGCAGGGTGGGGGATACAGGTACCAATAGGATCTCACAGAGGGCCTTGCCAGCCCCTACACTAGCCCAGACAGCAACACTGGGTGAATTAGAAAAAGGCACCCCTTCCTCAAAACCCTTGACTGCCATCTACTGGAAAACTGTCACGACAGCTATACAAATCTATGATGACTACAAGAGAAATGGTGCCCCCTGGAGTTGTGCAATGCACACTTTGCACACTGAGAGTGGCAATCTCCCCAGCCAGTCTCCCTCTGGGAGTGGGTCTGGGCAGAAGAAGCCATCATCCAGGAAGGAAGAAGAGGGTTGGCACCTCCCTCCCCCTGAGGTCGGTTGATTCCGTCCTGGGGAAGACAGAGCGGACCAGGACTCAAATGGGCTCTGGGGAGACAAGGGCAGGGGGAGGTTGTAAAGGGCAAGTGGGAAGAGGGCCTACTAACGTCTTGGGGCCATCAGACCCTTCTGGGCGCCTCGTTGGGTGCCTGCACCCCTTTCCCCACCTCACCCGACTAGGTCTCCAGTGGTTGAGACCAAAAGCGCTAGGGTGGGAAAGGACTCTGGCAGGGAGATGAATCCGCGGAGCTCGGAGTCGGGGCTAGAAGGTCGCCCTCTCAGTGCGGGGGCTGCAGGCCGCCTTGGTGGGCTTGGGGAAGAATTCTCCAAGGTCAGGGAAGGGGGGCCAAGGAGCAGCCCCTTCGCTTCTCCTCTCCCTTCTCTCCGCTCCCAGGCTCCGGTTCAGAGGCGCTCTCGGCGCCCGCCGCGGCTTCCAAACTGCGCCGCTTCCTTCTTGGGCAGAAAAGGACTTTCAGACGTTGTAGCGGCAGCGACTCAGGACAGCGCCCCCTCCCCCTAACGGCCGCCTCGCTCTCTCCCCCTCGCCCCCACCCTCCCGCTCCCCCACCTCTGGGAAGGCGCTGGGGGTGTGGCCAGGGGCCGGTATAAAGTCCCGGGGAGCCGGTCCCGGGCAGCCGCTCAGCCCCCTGCCCCCCGCCGCCCGCCGCCTGGGCCGGGCCGAGGATGCGGCGCAGCGCCTCGGCGGCCAGGCTCGCTTCCCTCCAGCCCGCTTGCTAACTTCCCTGGCTCCGTCCCTGTCCGTCAGCGGGCCGCCCCGTCTCCTCCCGCTCTCTGGTTCGGGTCCTCCAGGCGCGCCGGGCGCTGCCGCCGTGTGCCCCCTGCTGCCAGCCTGCGCGCCCGCGGCCCCCGCCCGCGCCTCGCGCCCGCGCCCCGTCGTCGCCTGGTCATGCTGCCCCTCTGCCTCGTGGCCGCCCTGCTCCTGGCCTCCGGGCCCGGGCCGAGCCTGGAGGACGAAGCCATCCACTGCCCGCCCTGCTCCGAGGAGAAGCTGGCGCGCTGCCGCCCCCCCGTGGGCTGCGAGGAGCTGGTGCGGGAGCCCGGCTGCGGCTGTTGCGCCACTTGTGCCCTGGGCAAGGGGATGCCCTGCGGGGTGTACACCCCGCGCTGCGGCTCGGGCCTGCGCTGTTACCCGCCCCGGGGGGTGGAGAAGCCCCTGCACACGCTGATGCACGGTCAAGGCGTGTGCATGGAGCTGGCGGAGATCGAGGCTATCCAGGAAAACCTGCAGCCCTCTGGTAAGGTTGCCCCTACCCTTGCACACCCTCCCTGATGGTCTCCCCTCCCAGAAGCCCTTTTCTCATTCAGGCTAGTCTGGAAGGCCCTTGAAAATCCCCTGTGAGTTGAGGAGAAGGCAGGGCCCGACTGGCATGGGACAAGCTCAGCCAAGGAAACTGCTATCAAGTCTCTAGCAGCCTGTTGCCACCATCAAGGAGGACTCTGTCCCATCCATCCATCTCAAACCTCCCAAGGGTGCCTAGTTGGGAAGAGAGGTCTCAATGATAGTCCTGGCTGCTGGTGCAAGAGTGGTAAATTAAGTGACCTGGTCCAGCCTCCATCCTGCAAGTGAACGGTCTGGGGGAGGATGGGGATGATGGCGGTTGGGGCTTTCTGTTCCTGATCCAGGGAGCTCCCCTCACCCTGCCCAGAAGTGAAACCCCAGGGGTCTGAGAAGCCAGGGCTTGGACTTTTGACCTTGAGGTGTGGTGGAGTGAGACATGCAAATTAGTGGGGCTTTGGTGGTGAGGGTCGTCGGAGTTGCCTTTCCCCAAAGCCCCAGGCCAGCTCACCTAACTGTTTGAGAGGTATTGGGAAGACAGGGGTCTCTCTGCGAGGCCTGGGCACCTCCTCCTGCCCTGGTACACAGGCACCCTGCTTCTTCCCGGCAGGTGCCATTTGAGGTGGCAGAAGAGAAGCAAGTCTTGGCTCCCAGCCCAGAGCTGCAGAAACCTACCAGGTGTGGGATAGGGAGTAGAGAAGAGGGGAGAGAGAGAGGGAGAGAGAAAAGAGCTTTAGAAGGCCCTTTGCCCTAAACTCATTCTTACACTTTCTCTGTTTCCATTTTTCAGTGAGCCTCTCAGTTTCTCCTTATAATCTTTCTCAGTGTCTTTCCGTTCTCTTATTCTTTTGTTCTTTCCTTCTGCGTCTCTCAACCTCTAGTTTCACTAACATTCTAGAGTTCTCCTTTCCTTGATATCTTCTGCCCATTATCAGTTTCTTTCTCTTCCTCTGTCTTATTCCTTTTTTCTGTTTCTGTTGTCCCGCTTCTCTCACTTTGATCTCAGTCTCTTTCTGTTGCTGTTTCTCTCTGTGTCCCTGTCAGTGTTCCTCTTTGTTTCTGTCTTTCTCTGTTACTTTTGGAATCTCTCTCTCTGACTGCCTTTCTGTCTCTGCCTCTGTTTCTTGTTCCCTCTCTGACTCTGCTCTCCCTGTGCCTCTGTGTGGGTCTGTCTCTTTTCCTGGTGCTTGAAGCTTCCATTGTTGCAGTCCGGATGCTGGGACTCCAGCCCCGAGCTTCCTGCTCTGGGTCCCAGACCGCTCCACTTCCTCAATCCTCTGCAGCTTGTGAGCCGGAGGAGAGCAGGATGCAGGGAAAACAGGAAGGAGGTGGACCCCAGGGGTCTGGGCCTCAGGCCTCTCTGCCCTTCCTGCCCCTGGGTAGTGAGGGATGGGTCAGCAGAAAACATTCTAGAAGAAATGCCAGCCTGGCTTCCAGCACATCTGAGAAGGGGGGGTCCTGGGGGACTAAGTTGCTGCTCCGGAGGCAGAGATGCCAGTGCCAGTGGGAGAGGAAGGTACTGGTACTGATCAGACTGGGAGTGAGGGCTGAGCCCTTGCACTTTCTGGGTATAACGGGACCACTTTCCCTTTGTATCGCTGTCCTCCACTGGCCAGCAGGTATCTGGCACCAAATTAGAATGGCTGGTAGCCTCCTCCTCTCTCACCAATTTGAACATGGGGTAGAAGAGTCCTCAGAGGGTCTTGGGCACTCCTTCGTCCCCGGCGGGGTAGGAATATCCCATCCTGTAGTGGAGGAAGCATCTGATCCTCTGGAGCCTTTAGGGGACATGGCATGAACAGTTTATGATTGTCCTGATGACATCTTACAAACCAGCCTCAAAAGGTGGCTTTGGGTCTCCTTTGGATTTCAGGGCCCAGATCTCAATACCCCTCACCCTTCGCTCCTTGCCTGTCTTCCACCCGTGAAGTGCATGCAGATATCTGGAGAGGGAAAGGGGAAGCCTGGAGGACCCTGAGGAAACTAGGTAGCAGCTCGGCAAACAGTGTCCACGGCCTCTCACCTCCTGGTCATCACAGAAGTACCCCCTGCCATGGCCTGGGCCACATTACTCTGTGTGAAAGGCGTCCCCTGGAGTTGTATAGCAGCCCTGCAGGGTCTCTGTTGAGCCAAGATGGCCAGGGCTCGGTCCCTAGCCCCTCTATTCTCTTTAGCCTTCCACTGTCAATAGGCCACTGTCCCTCCTAGGTCCCAAGGCTTGGGCCCTCTGGCCTGGGCAATACTTTGGCAGAGGGTATCAGGGTCTTCTTTCTGCCTTTTCCTCTTGGGGCTGATCTTCAGCAGGTGACTGGGGAAAGGCAGCCACTTAGCAGACCCCTTCCCTTGGCCTGCTGTGGTCTAGCTGCCTACTCTTTGTCCTGGGACAGGTCTCCTACTTCCATCTCCACCCCTCCCCCCGACAATAGCCCTCATGTCCCAGCTTTCTGAGCCAAAAATGCTGTGGATTAACACCACTCAGGTCACCAGAGGTGGGGGTGGGGTGGGATGTGTGCGTCAGAAGTCCACAATTCTGCATCAGTGTACTGACCCTCGACTCATGGAATTTGGAGGAGGGGACAGTGGGAAGATCAGTGTTTGGATTGGGGAGTTCCTAAACTGTGCTCTGGGTCCCTCTGGGACAGGGTTAGGGAACATGCAGGCTGGGTTAATTTTTAGTCAACGCAGCAGATATTGTCCCCTTTACTTCAGTACTGGGAATCTAGTCATGTCATGGGAACAGGGCCTTCCCAGAAATTCTGTGCCTTGGGGAGGGGGGAGGGGGAGGAGGAGCATGGCTGCTTAACATTTTTTCTTTAGTATTGGCAAAGCAAGAATTATTGATGTCTCGAGTATCAGGAGTCTTTCCATTTAAAGACATAGGAGCTGCAGATATAAGTCTCTCCTCCTTCCTCCCCACCCAGTCTACTTCATTTCCTCATCTGTAAAATGGGATTGCAATATGACCTGCCTCACAGGGTTGGGATGTCTGGCATGGAGTAAGAGCTCAGTAAATTGGAGTGATGATGAGGATGGTGATGAAGAGGAAGCTGAATAGATTTAAGTTGAAGCTTAAATTCTCCTCTGATTCTGGGACTTTGGGAGACAGTAGGGCAAGTGAGCAAAGCTGGGGGGGACATTCAGGGGAGTTGAAAGGGGTAGAGAGGACTTTGGTAGCTTTTGCTGCTGTAAACATGGGGAGGACAGGTCAGCTTTTCTTCCCTGGCTCTTTAGTCTGAGGCCGGCAGCATGGCACGACAGTGAGGGGGACACCCCGTGAGCCAGACCTCAAAGAAAGGGCCTGGTACCCAGCACAGGTGGTCTTGGCTTCTCTAGTCAGAGTCCAGGGGAAGAAGGAAAAGGCCTTTCTTGCAAGGCAGATGGATGACCCTCCAGATCATGCCTGAAACTTCTGTGTCTGGGTGGCTGGGCCCACCCACCTCACAGCCTCACTCTGGGTATCTTGAGGAGGGCAGGGGCTGGAGTTAAGGAGAAATCATGGGGGTGAAATCAGGCAGCAAGAAAGAGGAAATCTTCTAGCTTTGGCTATGAACTTTGCAGTCAGTGGTGCCAGAGCTGTGGAGCCTCTTCTCTGTCTGGGTGCCTTCGCTTCCTCTGTTGCTGGAGCAAAGACCAAGGTTTCCCCTGTGGTTGGATGTTGTTGGCCTAGTTCCAAGGAGGGGCGGGAGAAGATAACCTTGCCTATCTTGGAAGCCCCACCTCCCAAACAAGCCTTTCAGAGGTCAGGAGGTCAGAACTTTCACGGGGCTAGGTCTGCCTGTGCCTCCTGCTCAGAGGGGAACCCACGGGGATGGGATTTTTCCAGAGGGAGCCACTTGGGTGAGCAGCACCAGGTAGCTGGAACTCCTGCACTAGCAGGGAAGTAGCAAGTATTTAGCCAGTTTTGGAGATGAGAAGTTAACGTTTTCCAGAGACCCAAGGCTACGACCTCACCTTCCCAAACCAAGTGCCTATGGATGGGTTCTGCTGTGAGCCCTCAGTCCGCCGGTTAAGCAAGGCCAGGCAAGGAAAAGTTACAGATTAAATGGAAAGTCAACAAGCCATGATGCAGTCAGCGTGGCCTGCCCTGGGTCTGTGTCTCTGCCCAGGGCAGGGTCAGAGCGCAGTGTGCACGCGTGGATGAGTGTGTGCCTGGACATGTGATTGTTTGTATGTGTTTGTGATTCTTGAGTCCCAGCCTGTCTGTGTCTGAGTGGGCAGATATGGACATTGTCTGTGTACGTATGTCCCCATGAGAGTAAGTAAGGAGATACTCTCCCTGTCTGATGTGTTCTACTCTAAGCTTGCACATGAGCTAGGGATAAGTGTGCTGGGTAGTGGGGAAACCAAGAAGGGGGAGGCCAGGCGCGCTGCCTGCTCTGCTTTCCCCACATAACCCCCTCTGTGTGACGTGGGGCCACACCAACACAGGAACATAAGCTATGCTTCCAGGCTTGCCCTGTGCTCCATGCAGCCCTAGATTTCAGTGAGTGGACCCAGTTGTCCTCCTTAGTGGTACCTCTTAAGTAAAGGGATAAACATTCCAAATATCCATTAATAATCCCTTGAGTGCTAGTCATTTGTGAACTTTTATTCATAAAAACTCAGCAATGGAAAGCGTGGTTCCAATCAAACTTCCACTCCAGATCTCTAGATTCTTGAGGCCTCAACCACCCGATGCTCCACACCTCCAGGGTGTGGAGCTCTCTATCTGCTGAGGCAGCCCCATTCATTAGAAAACTCTTCCTTACTCTTGAAACCTATGAACATTCTGCATGTTGTCCAAGAGGACCTAGTGTCACTGTGCAAAGTAATCCTTTCCTTTATGGTCAAGAAAAGAAAGCAAACTCAAAGGAAAGACAATGAAACCTTTTGAAGTTCAAAGGGTGTCCCTGCGTTAGTGTCGTGGGCTGTGGTAAATGAGTAAAATGGTGGTGCCTTTCTTCACATTCCAGCTCAGCCTCTGTCGTTCCAAGATTTGGCTCTAATTCCTTTAGGTCTTTCATTTCTTCTTTCTTTCCATTCCCCACCTCCAGCCTACACCCCTGAAACACTGTGACCCCATCCACAAGTCTCATGGCTTTGTGCAAGGTGGACTTGATGTGTGTGTTGGGGTGTCACTGGCCAGCCTGGGCCTTTTTAGCCAGATAGCTTCCTTGGGAGTGTTTTCAGGCAAGAGCCTGGATCCCAGATCTTTCTCCTGGTTCCTAACTGAGGGCTCAGGGTGTATCTTCTTATGGCCCCCTTGGCACAATCCTGGTCTTCTGAAATTTATCTGCCCCTTCTTTTGCTGCTCACACCAGCTATAGGAGACCTTGCTATAGTGTCTTCTCTTTGGCTGATCCTCAAGAAGTTGATGTCATCTCTGGGACAGAAGTCCTCTCTGGACTGTCCTTTTTGGGATGGTAAATATACAGAAGGATGGGTTATATCTATCTGCTCCATTTATTCCTTCCCTTTGATTCTTTTTTCTAAGGCAGCCCTGTACCCATGACAATTCTTCCCATCCTTGGTAACTCAATTTTATAAATAACCTTTAGTGTGGAATCTTGACAAAGTCTTTCTGAGGGTCTATATTCGTCCTTGCCTGGTTTCCCTTTATCCACATGCTTTCTCCCATACCCCCCAGAACTAGGAGAATAAAAGGAGAACTAAACCCCCAGCTGACTTTGGCTAGGCGGAAAAATACCATTTGACCCAGAGGCAGCTCTGGGACTGCTGCCATGCATGGAGGAACCTGCTAACTCCCCAGGAAAAAAAATCCTGACGCAAACCAGATGTAACCTTCTGTCTGGCTGCCAACATCTGGAATGCTGGCAGGGACTTTGCACTCAGGCCGGTAGCAAGCTGCCAAGCCCGAGCATTTCAGAGGTGGCTCTGATGTGTGGAGAGGTCTTGTAGCCTCGTTCTCTTGCTCAGCCCTATGTTCTGGTTTTCTAGCTGCCTGGATGGAGGAGCAGTGGTTTCAATTCTGGGACTTCTGGATGGGATTTTTCTTGAGTTCAGATAGTCTTTAGGAGATCCAAGGGAGAGCTTGGGGGTCCAACCTCACCACCCTGTCTCCAGATCCTCAGTGCCCTGGCTCTGGGCAACAGACATGGACTTTGGATGGGGTCCGAAGTCTAAGGATGGGAGACTGGGGTGGGGTACTGAAGGGATATCTGAGGGTGTTCTCTTGGTCCTGGGGCCACACAGAGTGTCACACACACACACACACAATTTCACATGCAGGCATACACACCCACTCCCACTTCTCTCCTGTCCAGCCAATAGGGAGAGCTTTTTGGGCCAGATTTCTCACCACTCTTGGAAACTTTGATTCTGGCCATTTGGAAGAGGGTCAGCAGAGCCAACAGCCCTGGGGATCCCCTGGCTGGCTCAGCCAAACGCTGAAAAGAGCAGGAAAAGAGACGAGAAGAGAGAGCAGATGGAGAGGGGGATGGTAGGAGGAGCTGAATGGAAGGGGGACACGATCCAGTGGGGGGGCCCCCCTGCCTGCCTTAGACCTCCCTGCAGGGCCCAGGAGATGGACCCTCATGCCATTTGGACACCTGCAGCTGGTGACTCATCTGAGGGCCAGACTGGGTGGGGTGAGGGACAAGTCAAGGACTTCAAGAGGAATATTCTCCTGAGGAGATCCAGGGGAGTGGGGAGGAGACTGGCTGCTTTCATTTCTTCCCCTCACCCCACCCCCCAGGCTCCCTGCTCTTCCCCAGCACCAGCCTGGTGAATCTCCAAGAAGAAAGCAGGTGGGAGGTTGGGTTGGTGTGCGCCTTGTCCTTTCCCAGTGCTGACCTCTCTCCATCTTGGCCTGACTGCAGACAAGGATGAGGGTGACCACCCCAACAACAGCTTCAGCCCCTGTAGTGCCCATGACCGCAGGTGCCTGCAGAAGCACTTTGCCAAAATTCGAGACCGGAGCACCAGTGGGGGCAAGATGAAGGTCGTTGGAGTGCCCCGGGAGGAAGCCCGGCCTGTGGTAAGGACCTCTGACCTACAAATGTGCATGTGCATAGGCAACAACACCACTGCCACCACACCAGATCTGGACTATATTCATTCAGCAAACATTCTTTGGATGCCCACTGTGTGCAAGATGAGTCTAGTATGTGTCATCAGGACCCAAAGAGTCCTCATTCCTTTCCTTGAAATTTCTTTCCCGTTCATCAGTTCTGTACATTGGTACAGCTGAAGGGATTGTTAAATACTGAAATACTTCTGTACACATTAGTAGATAGCCGTTGCCCCAAGCTTCCTGATGTTTCTTGGCCCTTCTCATGGATTTCCTGTCCCAGAGTTTCTCAGTAACTAAAAGGGTTAATGCTGGCCGTAGCTGGGGGCCTTGGGAGCTTGCTTTAGGGTCTGGCTAATGTCCTTCCTGATGGGTAGTTCTGATGGATCTGTGCCTGGGTCTTACAAGTTGTTAATTGTACCATTTCATCCATCCTTCCTGCTTAGAAATCACCCGCTTCCTGTCCTTCTGCATGGATTTCCACAGCCCCTTTCCGCACAAGGTCCTTCCCTTTGCACCCCTCCTTTTTCAAAGCTCTTTGGCTCAAGATCCTCTCTTCAATGTCCTTAGCTGTGCCCAACAGTGTCCCCTGAACCCAAGCCCCTCCCTTCACCTCATTGGCCCTGCCCAGCCTCCAGGCCTTGACCTTCCTTTCAGGGCCTTCAGTCATGCTCTGACCCCCAGCCCTGGTCCTCCTGCTGTTCTGCCTTCTGCTGAGCAGTTTCATCCTTCCCCTCCTCCAGCCCCAGGGCTCCTGCCAGAGCGAGCTGCACCGGGCCCTGGAACGGCTGGCCGCCTCACAGAGCCGCACCCATGAGGACCTCTACATCATCCCCATCCCCAACTGCGACCGCAATGGCAACTTCCACCCCAAGCAGGTGGGTCTCCCTCTCCACCAGCTCAGCCCTGGCTTCGGCTTCAGGGGCATTCCCGGACTTTCCACAGAATGGTGATCTCAGGAAGGGGGAGGCTCCCCAACCTAACCCCTTGGGCCCTCCCTAAGCCCTCCCCCAGCCTCAGAATCTCAGCTCATTTTGCCCATTCACTCATTTTGCAGATGAGACTGAGGCCCATGGAGGGGTAAAGACCAGCCCAAAGTCACAGAATGAGTTAATGGCAGATGGGTTATCCTGCAATTTCCATGACCTCTGGATTCACCATCTGATGTAGACCTAGTACTCCTAGCAACCTATGCCTCCTGACACTCTCACTCCCCACTACTCCATTCCTCTGAGTAGTGCTTTTCTGTCATGGACTCTCTGAGGTTTCATCTGGGAATGAAGGGGCTAGATCATGAGGAGCTGAGGTGGAAACTCAGACTGCCCCTTCCCGCAAGCTGAGCAGCCAGACCATCTGGGGTTCAGCCAGATCTGACAGCCCGAGACAGGAGCTTTGGGTGGAAGCAGAGGAAGGAAGAGGGCAGGAGAGAAAACATGAATGCAGTAACCTCCGTGCTCCTGCTCCCTCATGCCCTTGGAAAACAGGTTCCTCTGATGAGCCACCAGGAGGCTGGGATGTTCAGCAGGGTTGGCCTGCTCCAGCCTCTTCTCTGGCCAGTCAGAGTTGGACCCACTTGGAAGGTGGCATGTGTGGGCAGGGCACTGTGGTGCCTCATGCTGGGTGTGGCCTGGGGAGCCCTGACCTAGATCTCCTTCGCCAGCTCTTTGTGGGCAGAGGCACACACTCCACTCCACGCGTACCCACAAAGTAGGCTGCCACTTGGCCAGCAGAGGCCTAGCTAGGAGGAAGGCTGCCCCCTGGGTCTGCACATCTCAGGACGGCACAAGGAGGTTATGAGGTGATGTACAATGAGTGGCCCAGAGAGGGCACCTCTAAAACCAATGCCAAACCTATCTCCAATGTTTATCCCAACACCAATTTTATCTTTGTCTCAATTTTTAAAAACTTTTCCCCTAATTAAAAAAAAAATTTAATAGACTTTGTTTTTTAGAGCACTTTTAGGTTTACAGAAAATTGAGCAGGAAGTACAGAGTTCCCATCTACTCTTCCACCCCCAGTTTCCCCTATTAACATCTTGCATTAGTGTGGTAAATTTGTTATGATTGAAGAACTAATATTGATACATTATTATTAACTAAAGTCCATAGTTTATGTTAGGGTTCACTCTTTGTATTGTACAGTTCTATGTGTTTTCTTCCCCCAATTTTTATCCCACTGAAAGTTCTGACACTTGCCTCTTTATCCCCAGACCAATTCTGACCCTTGAGACAACCTTTACTCCAACTCTAATTCTGACTCTGAAATACACCTTTGCCCCCTGCCCTCCCTCCTCCTGCTGTCTAATCTTTACCCAAACTTTAGTCCAACTCCTTTAGTTGTTCTGACCTGAACTTCTATCTTTATCCCAATTCCATTTTTGACCTGGGCTGTAAGCCTCACCCAACTCAAGTTTTAGTCATAATTCCCAATTCTACTGCAACTCTTATCCTGATGCTACCTTAACTTCAACTACTCTTAACACATCCCATTTCTAAAGTCCCAACCCAATCAGAACACACACTTAACACCTATCCAACCTAAACTCTAGCCTTTCAAACCCAGCTGCACCTTTAAACTCCATGCATCCAGTCTCCCCTCCAGCTGGGCTGGAGAACCTGTTTTCCAAAACTCTCTGGACCTTTCCTTTTTGGCCAAGTTCTCTCTACTCTGTGAGCTCAGAGGACCCATGCTCATGAAAGAACCTCCACCCTCAAAGGCCATCTTGGAGCAACTGTCTGACTTGGGGCCTGGGCTGGGATTGGGGTGAGATGCCTGAGAACTGACCTCTCATACCCCCTTGTCTTGGCAGTGCCACCCCGCCCTGGATGGGCAACGCGGCAAATGCTGGTGTGTGGACCGGAAGACAGGAGTGAAGCTGCCGGGGGGCCTTGAGCCGAAGGGGGAGCTGGACTGCCACCAGCTGGCTGATAGCTTCCGCGAGTGAGCCCTGCCAACAGGCAGGGGACTCAGTGCCCCCTGCTACTCTCTCCCCTGGAGGCTGCAGAACTGACCAGGAGCCTGGGTCTGAGTCCTGGCTCTGCCTCTGGCCCAGAAGTTTCCCTCGGGTGTGTGTGTGTGTGTGTGTGTGTGTGTGTATGTGTGTATGAGTATGAGCATGGGTGTGCCCTTGGGATGAGCTGGAGCCTAGGGGTGTCCTCTTTGGGTTTAGATAGCCCAAGAGGTCTGAGAGTGGCAATGGGGAAGCCCTGGTGTGTTTCCAAATTGATCCTGGATTCATTCATTCATTCAGCCATCTAGCCACCCAGCCATCTAAAAACATTTATTGACCACGTACTACATGCCACTTCTAGTTTTCAGCCCTGGGGCCTCTTATTCTGCCTTCCTCTGATTTAGGGATGTGGGGCCACCTCCTATAAGATGAGCACAAGCCTGTGGAAGAAGAGAAGTCCCATTTCCAGAATCAGAGGAGGAAAGTAGACATGTACCTTGACAATTGTCCCTCCTCTCATTCTAGTCAGAGGGTAGAGGTCATAGGCAAGGTGTAGGGTGGCAGATGGCTCAAAGGTCAGGAGACCCAGACCCATTTCCAAAGCTGAGGCCTGCCAGGCTCCCCTTTTCTTTCTTCCAGGTCCCTCCAGGGGGAAGGACCTACAAAGACAAGCCAAGATCCATCTCAGCTTTTGGGTCGAGTGTGGTGCCATCTGCTTGGTTGCCTGGTAGCCCAGACCCCACTATGGGGGAGGGAAGAAGGTCGGAGAAAGGTCTGCAGGACAGAGGGCTGGGGAGGTGGGGCCCATCTCTGAGCAGTCAAGATTGGAGGAAAGAATGCATGGTCAGACTGTATGTGCCTGATGGAGAAGAGGACCCACATTCCGGGGGTGAGGGACTTGCCTTGGGTCTTGCTTCCTTCCTCATTTGTGGTCACAGCCATGAGGTCACCAGGATGACTCCATCCTTCAGTGGCTCACACTCTGTGGCTCTGCCTCCCTCCCCACATCTCTTTCCCCTGCACCCCCCTCCCCCACACTGCCCTACCCCCTGGGCATTTTCTGGCTTGACTGGATAGAAGGAGACTTAGGGACCTACCAGTTGGCCATAGTGTCTTTTCTTTTTCTTTTGTGTTTTTTTTTTTTTTTTTACAAAACAAAACAAAAATCTAGACAATTGTGTTTGGTTGATTTATTTCAAATTAGAGACAGAGATGTACCAGGGTGGGGAGACCTGCCTTACATGGTAAAAGGACTGCAAAGGGTCAGCCAATTCACCCTCCTCTTCCCTGCAGCCTCTTCCCTAGGGGGCCTCCCTGTCCCCAGAGTCTGTGCTGTCTGTGTTCAGACTCCTGGTGGGCAAATAATGGCTTCTGAATGGAGGGAGCAAGCAAGGACAGCCCTGCTGGGCCAGAGCTATTTCTGCGATCAGCCTGTGTGTGAAGCTGGGGCATTTCCTAGGATATCAGGCAGATTGGGTTTGCAACTGGATTTGATTTATTAATTTAGTAGGGGGAGGCACTGCCCTGAAGTTGGGGAAAGGGGATAAACTCTCCAGTGCATTCCACAGCTCTGACTGCCTAGATTCCTGCCTGAGGGGTGTGCTGAAATTTGATTCTGAGGGGTTGGAAGTGGGGGCATCTTTGATCTTGCTGTCCTGGGCTCACCAGGCTGTGGGCTCCTGGTGCCAGCCCCCAAATTTGTGCTTATGTGGTATGACTAGATTCCTGGTCATCTGCCAGTGCCTCACCCTCCACCTCTCTGCTGTGTGTGTGTGTGTGTGTGTGTGTGTGTGGCATTGATCTCTTGGGTGGGGGCCCCCTCCCGGGAGGTCACCCGCAGCCCTGAGACCCAGTGCGCTGAGTCTGCTGCACTCTGGGGGAACTCCCTCCTATCTGGTTGTCTCCTGGATTCCTAGACCCTCCCTAGCTGTGGAGGCGCTCCCAGGCCTCTCGATTTCCCTGGCCCCTGATGCACTGGCATCTGTGCTGTCTGCATCTTGAGTCGGTGGCTGCAATCCTTGTCTCTCTAGCTCTGTCTCAGTGGTGGCATCCTGTAGCCATCTGATTTCCCTGAGGCACCACAGGCCACTGCCAGCAGCAGGAGATAAAGAACAAAGTGACGGTGAGGGTTGCTCCCTCGGTCTCCTGGCCACTCTTCACAGAACACCCTTCTTCTGGGGCTGAGGCCAAGTCATGTTGGGGTAGAAGGTGAGCAAAGGCTGATGATTAATTTTTAGGTCCCTGTACCACGTGTAGAGAGAGTATCTCTTTCTCTAAAGCATCTCTTTAAACTCCCCTTTGTCTCCAGTCCCCTTCCCAATATTCTACCCTTGCATCCTTGGCAGTGGGTGGTAGGAGGTTCTTTTTCGTTCATGGGCCTCCAGAAAAAGCAGGGTCTGCTTGGGAAGAAGCTGCATGTGTGGCCTAGGATGTACCTTTGTTATACACATATATTTGTGGTGTGTGTGCGTGTGCACACGTGTGAATATAGCAAAGTGATACTTTGGATGTGAGTGAGTGTATGGGCTTTTACAGGGCATGTATACCTGATCTGAGTGCACGTAGACAAGAAGCACATTTGTGTGGTGTGTCTATGTGGGCTGTGTGGATCTGAGTATGGATGTGTGTGCTGTGAGAGAGGAAAGGAGAAATACACAAAGTATGTATGTCCTTCCCTCCCAGCTGTGAGTGCGTGACCATCGCTCATTAGGTGTCCCTACTGCAGGTTTTGTGGGGAGCTATCTAGCACCAGAGAACAGGGGATGTGCACTTTGGGAGGGGGAATTCCACATCCCACAGAAACCACCCCCCACCTCTGGCGGTTGCTCCCGTGATCTGGGAGCCAGGTCCTAGATGTCAAAGAAGGACATAAAAGCATCTCTATGTCAATGTGGACACGCTCTACCACTGCCAGGTCAGAGGAAGTGCACTGTCTTGGGCAGTGTCACAGCGTGGAGAACTGGGCTCCAGAGAGGAACTGCTGGTCTAGTTTGCACCTAGGCCCTCCCACCATGGCCTCCAAAGACCCTTGAATGGTCACTCTAGTTGCCACAGGGGCATCAGCATCTCTGGCAGCCATGGAAGGGAGGAGGTGGTAAGGACCAAAATCTTATGTCCTAGTTGGGCCACCATACCTGGATGAACCTAAAACTGAAGTCCTTGAAGTCCTTGAGAGCTCTGCCCTGCGTCTCCAAGAAATGTCATTCCCCCATACTGTGGCTTGGAGCAGAAGATGGGAGGCACCTCACCAGGCTCCCCTAGCCCAGTGGTGCCGATCTGCATCAGGCATTTGGTTTCCATTTCCCAGCTCATTAGTGGAGATCAAGCCCTGATGTCTGCTGAGGGTTGGGGGCTGGGTTTTAAATTGGCAAGAAGGCAGGGAGGGAGTAGGGAGAAAAAAACCGAGACTTGGACTGACTCCAGTTTTGGATTCAGGTTGGGGGGATCTCTGGAGAGCTGGCCAAGCCTCCTGACCCCTCCTCCTATCAGGGCCCTGAGGTTCCAGCCATTGCCATCCCTTCAACTCCTTCCAGGAAAAGGCTGCTTGTTGCAACCGCTCTGCCCTCTGGGCCGGATTCCGCCCCTGAGCTGCTCCAGGAATGTTATGAGGCTTGCAGGACTTGGGGAGTCTGCTCGGCCCTCCTTCTTTGGGGGGCGGGGAGCGGGCGGATATGACTGTGTGGTAAATGACCCTGAAATATTCCCAGCCAGAGAAACTCCCCCTGCATTCCAGACCCCTATGGCAATTTCACCTCTGACCTAGAAAGAGAAAGTCAAGATGATGTGGTTGGATGGAGCTGGGAGGCAGGCTGGCAGCTGGGATCTTGGGTCCTAATGGGGAAGAGGGGAGGAAGGGGCGGTTTGTGAGCCAGGGGGAGGATCAATAAGTAAGCATATTCAAGGGGAAAGAGGGAGTTAATGGGAACAATAAGTGGAGGAGAGACAATGAGACAGACCTTGTTTTTTGGAGCAGACACCGCTCCAGCCAGCCAAGGGTCTAATTAGATCCTCACTGTCAGAGTGACCTGTCCCTTCTATGTCTGAGGCCCCAGGGGCTGGGGAGGGTTGAGGTCAGGGAGTAGAAGGGGGGAGTGCTGCAGATAATTAGAAACATGCTCTACTGAGTCAGCAGGCGCCACCAGGACCACACCCCCCCCACCCTTCCCCAGGTACCCAATCCCCTTCCCCACAACCTGGACCATTCCAGCCAGACTAGGGGAGGGGCTGGTGGAGCCTGGGAGTAGCAACCAGGGGAGATTGGCTTCCTGGCCCTGACACGGTCTCTAAAGTGCAAACAACATATTTTCACCATGCATTGGTATTTAATTACATATAAAAACAGAGCCATTAAACTGAAATTAAACCCTTGTTGGAATCATTTAATTCAGGGCGTGACAAATTGCTTTCAGTGGAGGTGGCTTGAAGTCTCCCCAGGGAGAGACGGAGATTAGTGGCTTCCTTGGCTGGCTGGTTCCCCTCGTTCTCATTCTCTTGGCCCCCTTGCCAGCTCTAAATTCTGAAACTGGGGTCAGAGCCTTCTTCCTAAAGACCACCCAAGCCAAAGGGAAGCCTGTAGGTTTGTTCAGGATGATGGGAATGGAGGGTTGGGGAATCACAGAGTCACTGTCTAACCCAGTTTTTGACAACCTGGTCCCTTTTACCAATGGGGAAGCTGAGGCCCAGGTACCAAGGTCTTCCAGAGCCAGGATTCGAACACTTGCCCAAGCCATGGCCAGGGAGGCTGTTTTTTCAGGCTTGTGTCCTTTCACCCGAGGCCTGGAGACAGAACTTGGGGGCTAGATGGGTGAGTATTGGGGAACCAGAGTAGACTCTGGTCGGGGAGGGTAGATTCCTCTGGAGCTGGGCTCCGGTCTGGTCCAAGTCTGGAGACAGCAGGGAAGGCAAAGTGGTGGCTCTGGAGCATGGGCTGCTGAGGCAGCCTTAACTTCCTGGAGGGCAGCCTGGTGCCCAGACTCTGGAATTAGGCAGACCTGGTTTCTTACCACCTGGGTGAGGTTGGGCAAGTAAGACCTTTCACTCCTGTGAGCCTCAGTTTTCCCATCTGTCAAATGGAGGTGGAAATTCCTATCTATAGTGTTCCTGTGAAGACTAGTGGGCAGAATGTGTGGACAGGGCTCAGGGCCAAGTTCAGTAAGTGGTTCTATTAAACTTCCTTCTCAGGACCTCTGGTTCCGCATTTGTAATAAGATCCAGCTGGGACCTGGTGGTTTCTAGGGCCTTTGCTTGCTCCGATCCTCTCTGTTTGTGGCCCTTTCTCCTCCCTTTAGGCTCCTTCATTCCTTCAGTTTCCCATCTCTCCTCTATCGTGTGTTTGTCTAACTATGGACAGAGGCCTGGGGTCTGTGGTTAGATTGCTGGGTAGGAACAGGCAGGCCCATGCCTCCTGAGGTTTCCCTGCCTCACCTACTCTTCCAGTGGCTGTGAGTGAGGCCTATCTGGGAGGTGAAAGGAAGACCAATTGGGATGGGGACTACACTCTGATGAGAGGTGCTGCGGGGTGCGCAGTGAGGTTGTGGCCTCCCTCCCCCATGTGCCCTCTAGGATCTGGGAACCTGCTCTCCTGATTGGAACCAGATGGGTCTTCTGTGGCCGGAAGCCTGTCTTAGAAGTCCACTCACTCAATGTCCTCCCCTAGGAGGGGTGGGGGGCATAGACTAAGGGGAAGTGGAAGTATGGCGGGGTCCTCTTCACTGGGGCTGGGAGAGAGGGTCTTTTCCCTTCTCTCTACTCTCCAGGCTAGTGGCCTGGAAACTTTTCTATTAGTCCAGGGAGGGTGGTGGTGGGGTGGTGGTCAGCGGAGTACAAGTCTCTCACTGAGGTTTGGCGGGCCGTCTTTGACCTTATGACAGCCTCCTCTGGGAGCAGCACCTCCTCCCCATCCCTGAAGTGAAGCTCAGCTGCAGATTGCCTAGGAGGGGATGACAGCGCATGTCCTTTGTCTCCTGGAGTGGCCTCAAGGTCATTCCCTTCACCCCTGGCCTCCTTGGCCTTGGTAGGCAGAGAGGTTCCTGCACTGGGGTTGGAGTGGAAGGGCCAGGCTGAGACCCAGGGTTCCCGTCATTGCAGGTCTGGCAGCTACCCTGCTGCAGATGGCTGCCCTGCCAGCCTGGCGGCCAGCACAAATGCGTTACAGCTGTACCTCTACTGGC